GAAATGACACTCGATGGTGTTTTGCAAATTCACAAACATCGCAATGGAAGATCTCAACCGACTGATTAGAAATAGAGAAGGAAACATTGACTTCAATAAACTGAATGGTGGATGCCCCAGACGCTTATGATGGATCCAAATCATAGACTCTGCAATAGAAGGATGACATGTCATTAATAACTGATTTTTGCTATCATTTATAGCATGTTCTGGAAGGAGATAATACAACCCATCCTGCTCATTAGCAACTCCAATTGTCTTCTTCGTGGTAAGATCCTGAATAACACAATGAGAAGGGAAAAATGTGATGGAACAATTCAAATCAGTTGTAAGTTTTTGAGTGGAGATAAGATTAGTAGAAAGCTGAGGAACATAAAGAACATTTTTAAGAAACAAGGAAGGTTGAATTTGAATGTTACCAGAACCAATAACTGATTTATGGGATCCATCAGCTACGGATATAATATGACTACCAACAATAGGATGATAAGAAAGAAAAAACTCAGTACGACAAGTCATATGATCAGTTGCACCAGAATCCAAAATCCATGAGGTTTTAAAATCAGTGCAAGAAGAAAGAAGAGATGTAGAACGTGTGTTCTTACCAGACAAGATCAAAGAACGATCAGATGGCTTACACATATTATCAATAGCGGGTTTAAGCCGATCCATGAAGAGGAGACAAAACAAAGCAAAAAAAGTTTTTTTTTTTGTGTGAGCTGTACCCGATGAACAGTACCACGTTTTTTTTTGTAGCTGTTCCGATCGTCTGATGAAAAAGAAACCTCCGTAGAATGATAGATCTAAGAAAACAGAGTGAAACAAGGGTCCTCACGGTCCAAAAGGTCCTCGGAAATTTTTTTCCGGTGGCGGCGAGAGGCAAATAGGGTTTGATTTTTAAAGATGGTGATTTGCGGAAGGAGAACTCTCAGAATCGAGAGCTCTGATACCAACTTGAAAAAAGGTAATCTGTGATATTATTGAATTGTTTGTAAACTGTACAAAGAGTTTTCTATTTAAAGAGATTACATGACCTAATGGGCTAAGCCCAATACAACAAATAAATAAATAAATATTATTATTTACAACACATCATATTCTTGTTATAGCAGTATAGTGCCTGACGGAATGGTACCTGTTTCCTTCTGTTTAATTTGCATCCATTTCCTTTTACCTTTTTTCTTGCACCCTTTCTAATACGCATATTAGCTGGGAGGGGGTGAGAAAAAGACAATGGTTATGTATGCCAGCTAGTAATAGCTGCAATAAAATCAAAAGAAATATTCTGTATTGTTGTTCTTGCATTACAAGTTAGGTTTCCTTTTACTGTATCAAATCTTTGAATGGCCTAACTTGAAAAAGGTAATGAAATATATTATTGAATTGTGTATAAACTGTACAAAGGTTTCTTTATTTAAAGAGACTATATGACCTAATGGGCGAAGCCCAAGAAAGATTCTAAAATACAACAAATAAATAATGATTATTATTATTTACAACACTCCCTCTTAAGCTGAAGAATAGATATTTATCATTCCCAGCTTGCTAGTAAGTTCTTGAAATCTATCTGAAGGAAGTCCCTTTGTCAATACATCAGCTAATTGACGCCTAGTGGGAATGTATGGAGTGGAAATCAACCCGCTATCAAGTTTCTCTTTGATGAAATGGCGGTCGACCTCAATATGTTTAGTCCGATCATGTTGAACTGGATTATGAGCTATACAAATAGTGGACTTATTATCACATAACAGCTTCATTGGTCCCTCACATTTTATTTTGAGATCATCAAGTATAATTTTCAACCACAATAACTAACAAATGCCTCGAGCCATAGCTCGAAATTCAGCCTCTGCACTTGATCTGACAACTACATCTGTTTCTTACATCTCCACGTCACCAAGTTACCACAAAGAAACATAATAACTAGTGGTAGAACAACAGTCAGTCACCGATCCAGCATAATCAGCATCAATGTAAACTTCTAAAGAGAGATTGCCATCACGCCGGAATAACAGTCTTTTACAAGAAGTGGCTTTAAGATACTGAAGAATTTTATTCACTGCCTACATGTGTTTCTCCTTTGGATTGTGCATAAATTGACCGACAATACTAACAACATATGCTAGGTCTGGTCTAGTATGAGCCAGATATATAAGTTTCCCAACTAGCCATTGATATTGTCCTTTATCAACTGGAGGATTCTCCTCTTCGTAACCCATCTTGTGATTCTGCTCAATAGGAGTATTAGAGGGTTTACACCCAAGCTTTCCTGCTTCTTTGAGAAGATCAAGAACATATTTCCTCTGGCTGATAAAAACTCCTTCCTTTGAATGAGCTATCTCTATCCCTAGGAAATATCTCAGTTTTTCAAGGTCTTTAACTTCAAACTTAGAGGCTAGTCGTGTTTGCAGAATGTCTCTCCACAATATCATCACCTGTTACAATAATATCATCAACATATACAAGGAGCACAGTGAGCTTCCCATCTTGGGAGTGCTTAAAGAAAAGAGTGTGATCTCCTTGACTCTGTATCCTAAGGTCATCATAACCTTAGTAAACCTCCCAAACCAGGCACGAGGTGACTGCTTCAATCCATACAAGGCTTTTCTTTATCTACAAACTTTATTTTCTTCGTTACAGAATCAAAACCAGGCGAGATTTCCATGTAGATCTCTTCTTTTAACTCACCATTAAAGAAAACACTCTTCACATCAAATTGATTTATATCTTAATTGTAATGGGCAACAAGAGATAACTAGACTCTCACCGTATTCATCTTTGCAATTGGAGCAAAAGTTTCTTCATAATCAATGCCATAGGTCTGAGTGTAACCCTTGACGACTAGCCGAGCCTTATATCTCTCAAGAGTGCCATCAGAATTATACTTCAGGGCATAAACCCATCTGCACTCTACTGCTTTCTTTCCATTGGGTCTATCAATAACCTTCCATGTTTTATTTTTCTCCAACGCATTCATCTCTTGCATGGCCTGAGCCCAATTCTCATATTTTAGTGCTTCATGTACTGATTTTGGGATTGAAATAGAATCTAGTGCTGAAACAAAGCTTTTGTGCTGCACAGAAAAATTAGTAAAAGAAACAAAATGGGAGATAGGGTATTGAGTACAAGAGGGACAAGAGGAACAAGATTTCTTGGAACAAGATCTTTTTCCTTTTCTTAGGGCAATGGGTAAATCATCAGAAACAGAAGCAATGGGTAAGTCATCAAAAGTATTAATATCATGATCAGAAATATGAGATTGAGGACTTACCAGTGGTTCAGACGATTGAGGTTTCTGGTGAAGCAGTGTGAGTTGTTTCCTTCTTTGATATACCAACTCAGGTGTCACAATCTTCCGTATCTTTGGTGTATTTGATGGATCAAACACAGGAGGATCAGACACAAGAAGGACAGAAACAAGAGGTAGAGGTGAAGTAGTAGACACTAAAGATTCAAACTCAAAGAAGGAAGGTGATGAGTTTTCTGAAGAATGTTCTTCCCCTGAAGATGAGGACCTTGGAAAAAGAACTTAGATTCCTGAAATGTAACATCCATAGAAATAAAAAAAATTTGACTGCCAAGGTGATAACACTTGTAGCCTTTCTTATCAGGAGCATAACCAAGGAAAACATATTTAAGAGCCCTAGGATCTAACTTACTGCGATGGTGTTTGTGAACATGAATAAAGACAACACACCCAAACACTCGTGGAGGAAGACTCTGCATAGTGGGAACAAAAGGGAAAAATGAAGTTATTGAGGGAATGAGACTTACATTGTCAAGAACCCGAGTGGGTAAGCTGTTGATCAAGAACGCTGCAGTAAGAATGGAATCTCCCCAGTAGCATTTGGGTATGTGTCTGAAACAGTAAGGCACAAGCAACTTCAAGGAGGTGACGATTCTTTCTTTCAGCAACCCCATTTTGTTGAGGGGTGTCTACACAAGTAAGTTCATGAATCATACCTTGACTTCGTATAAATTGGGAAAAACAATGATTAACATATTCAGTACCATTATCAGTCCTTAGTCTCTTGATTCTTTTACCAAATTGGGTATCAATCTTATAAAATTGAAAGAATAGTTGTGGTACCTCAGACTTTTCATGCATTAAGCAAACCCAAGTTACACGAGTGCAATCATCAATAAAAGAAACAAACCGTTTATTACCAGGCGGGAAAGAATTATTACCAACTTGAAAAAGGTAATGAAATATATTATTGAATTGTGTATAAACTGTACAAATGTTACTCTATTTAAAGAGACTATATAACCTAATGGGCTAAGCCAAAGAAAGATTCTAAAATACAACAAATAAATTATTATTATTATTATTTACAATAGCCTATCTATCGGTAACCACCATGTAAAAATAATTCTATGGTTATTTGAATGCTAATTATCTTATACGGAGGATTTATCTATTTTTTTTTTTTTTAAATACTGACAGAATTATTCTTTGAAGGATCAGGTTTTGTAATTGTAAGACAGCCTTTGGTTGTCATATTGAATCTGTTCGTAAGCAACATGAGCTGGGTTTGTCATTGATTAGGGGCTTTTGCTTCCAAATTATCCTTTGATTTTGAAGTTGACTACGGCTTGTGGTTGTGGTAATCACAGTCGTCCCATAACGAATATCTCCCTTGAGTGGTTAACTGGTCATATACGAGATACATTTATTGTTCTGCTGCTGGTGATATTTCCTATCAACTTTCTACGTATGATGTATGAAAATAATGAAAACTACTTTGTATGCGGGAATAAACTTTTCCGATTGATTTCTGCAATTTCTGTTCATTATCAATGATTACTCTACTGATAATAATTCAATAATTACAAATACTTTTGGTATGATGTCAGTGCATTTAATGGATGGCTGTTTCAAGCTTGAATAGATATGATTTACAGGTCAATCCCACTATTTATGGGATTCCATATCCTAAACTGAAAACTATTCTACTTTTTTTATGACATGCTCTGCATTCATTTCATGTCAGAGAAAGAAGAATTGAAGGTGTGAAGGTATGCTAATCAATGAACTCCTGTCACTCAGGCAGCAATCCCCTCTGGTCTTGAACAGTTGGATCTTCAATATTAGCTTTTTCTGGTAAATTTCTTCGACACATGTCCCATCATACTTGTTTTCATTTTTTTGTCTTTGCTAACTTACTTCTTGGACAATGCAATCTGGCCAAAAGAGGACGAGGTGCATGTGTTTGTTGATCAAATCCCCTGACACAAACAAATCCTGAAATGTAGTATCAAAGTGTCAACAGGCATGACAAGATTGAATACTGATACTCTAGTAATGCATATGGGAACTAATCACGATTGTAACATGTAGAGTTGTATGATGTTTTCAGGAAACACTATTGGCTGACTAGTCTGATACTGGGTCACTCAGGAATGATATATACATGCCTGATATGTGTAAGATTCAAGGATCTTGTGTAAATTCCACTGGCATTATAAATTTTATGACAATTGCTTATGATTGTTATTTGTCCTACAAGGTTATGAAAATTTTGCTAAATCTAGAGTTGGCTCTAGATGCAGATTTGGTTGTTAATTGCAAGAGATAACTGTTGTATTACTTTTTTTTTGGTATCCTCATCCTAAATCTCCCTCTTTCTTTCACTTGTGTGAAGATATACCTGCTGAATATGTATGCATACTCATTTGCAAATCTAAATGAGTTAGGTTTGGTAAATTTAAATTTTAGTAGATCCTGTATTTCCTTTTGAGGCTACCAAGTGAAAGATTTTATTCTTTCCTCTGTTATAACTTATCAATATGTCTAGTGTGGTAAAAAGATGAAATAACAAAAACATTCGAAGGTATTCTGCATACCTCTCCAAAAGCAATGCTGAATTTCTTGGGTTGAGAGGCCTAGTAGACATAAGAATTTTTGATGAGTACAATTTTACCTTATGGGATAAACTGGTTTAGATATATAGTACATGAGTCATGAGCATAGTTCTTTCTACCTTTGAAAATTGACGATACAGAGGTCCCAAAGTATACTGTCCTCCTTGGCAAATTCCATATCCATGCCCTAGGGATATCAATGGGTTGAATGCTGGATGCATGATCCGCAAATAGCTTCATGATAATAAAAGGTTTATGGACCTTGTTGGTGAAAAATTATATTTAAAATAAGGGCAAACGTGCTAATGTAATTGAATAGCAATAAAACGTTGACGCATACCTCGTTAACTTGAAAGTAAGTCCCATTCAGTGGAAAGCTTCCCCTAGTTGCTGTACGACAAGGTATCTATATATGGGGATAATGTTTGTGTAAGTTATTAAAGAAAAACAAAGTACAAGAAAGTATAATCTTTCATCTTTCTGTATCCATGAATTAATCTTTACCAGAAGTGTTCCTCTGACTGTTTGTAAATTAGCTTCTCTAATGCTGTTGCATGAAAAGCATGTCTTGTCATTGCACAGGTTGGTTGAATCTCGAGATCGACACCTTCTTTCTGGTGGTTCAATGGAATTTGCAGTCTCACCTAGTGTTCAATGTCATAAATATGGATGTAAGTATATTGTGATGTTATCTGACTTTAACCTAGTATAGATTTAGTAAAATTTTTGCCTATGCTTCCCTTCTACTTTTTTGTCTAGCTATTTTACATGTATTTGTGCATTGATATTTGTAAAAAGATAGCTTTTGGAGACTATTGCTTGCATATGTTCACTAATTGAGATTGTTTTGAGTGTCTTTATTCTTTAGCTAACCTGGTGTCCATATTGCAAGAAGATATGGGCTTGGGTCATCAGGTTCCCGTTTATCCATCTGCAAATTTTAGTAAAGAAACCAACATAACAAAATCTCCAAGCTGATAACTGCATGTTTCAGTGCAATGAAAAGATAACCGACCTTTTCCAAGAGAGGGTGTGAATCTGGGAGTTCATATCTGCATTAATCAGGCAGGTGTTGAAAAGCATCATTTAGACTTCCATTTAAAAACTGTCATGTTACTTAATCTAGAGAACCAAGGCATTTACTTCCAAGTATCCTTAATCTACACTATGGAGAAAATTATCCTTATGATGGTAAGGATATAATTTTATTTAGGACCTGCACATGCCTGTGGATGATTCAATTGCATAGTGTTCACATCTAATTATGCCATGTGTTAATTTTCCTTGGTTGGACACTTAATTTGCTGCTCAACTTGGATAAACAAAATGATGAAGAATATTTTAAGTTTTTAGTTAGATATATGTTTTTTTGGGCAAGGCTTATGCTATTGCAAGTAATGCCAGTATCTACTTACACATGATGTTCTGTTCTTAGCCGACTCATATTCTTCAGTTTCGGTGTAGGGATAGAAGCAGACTGTGGAGTCAAGGTAACAAGTGCCTTGGACATGTCACCTTCATGGTGCTCCTTGTATACTTGCACATAGTTCTGTACATTCATTGCAAGTTCTTCGACACTGAACTCAATAAGTGGAATTTCGTCAGGATCCTCCCCAAAGAAGTCCTCAATGTCGCTTTCTATCGCCTCTGTCAACTGTTGTTCTGGTGTTGCTGGTTCTTCAATGATTGGCTCACACTGCCCACTTTCAGGACTTGCTTCTTTGATCAATTTGTTCTCAAGAAAAGGTAGGATCATGGGGTTGATGTTGACAGAAGGGTTTTCCTCAGCTGCAATGGGAACATGCATGCTCACGATGCGTTTCTCTTCTGGCCCAGGCAAGGCAAGCCGTGCACTGCACAAAAAGGGTTAGTCAATTCATAAATATAAATCAAGTCTCTCATACACTTGATAATAGAACAATGCAGTTGAAGGAATCAATTCAACTTTGCTTGATTTATCTGGTTACTCTCTATGATAGGTTTTGTTACCAGCCTTGAGTTGATTCTTTGAACTTTTGGTTTTAGAAGCTTCAAAATTTGGCTGTGGCCTATTGGATCTTCTTTGGGGCGGGGGATATGGGTGGTGACAAGATTTAGGAACTGTTATCTGTCATTCTGTTGATAAGATATACATACATGACATTGGGGGCTTTCCATTTTTGGATAATCAATTGGTTTCCATTCATTGGCATCAAGAGTCCAGAACAAATTAACTATAATGGAAATAACCATTGTGGGTTTGCAATTAATTTTCTAAACTGACTGCACCAATAACCAAAACATATGGTACTGGAATCATGAACAAGAGGATGGGTCTGGACCTGAAAGTTTAATCAGGAATAAATTGAAAACGACATTAAGAAAAAGTTGATAAAGGGACTGAGAAAATACATGTACCAGACCAGGGGGTAAAGGATGCATCAATGGAGTCTTGAATTGGAAGGATGGAGATGCTGAAGATTTAAGAGGGGTTTAGGGAAGTTCATGAATACTTTAAAAAGTTTGGAGTTTGATTTGCATAAAAATTGATATAAAATACCTAATTTGTCAGCTAATTTTGCTTAGTAAGGGTAAGCAAGATGTAGAAAAATCCATCACCCTAGAGGCTGACATGGACACTGAAGATTGGAGAGTGAGAGAGAATTATGTTGTGGGAGGGAATTGTGTTATGATAAAAAAGGAAGTGGTCACTTTGGTGGGTAGGTTGTTATTGGGTTTAAGTCTTTGGACAGAATTTGTGCCGAGGGAGAGAGCTAACCAAGTGTCAGTTATTGTATCTGTTTTCCATACACTGAATGCATAACACAAATTTCCATCTCAAATCTTGCGTTCTGTTTTTTTATATCCATCTGTTTTGCATCAAGTTGATGGCAGTATATAATGCAACTGACATATTGAGGTGCTAACCTTGCAAAAGCACTTGCAAAATGTCTGCACTCTGCTCGCATTGGGCATGCATTGCAATTTGGTTGTTTCTTTGTGCAGAAAACCTACATAATTGGAACATGAATACTTTTAACCACCTATCTCCTGCCCGTGAAGCAAAGCTAGTTCCAAAAATTTGTTATGCCCTTTCTGAATGTTTGTACCAAATATGAAAATAAAATTGCATACCTTTCCAAACGTAATCATCTGGTAGTGTAGCTCATACCTGCATTCCAGTTATGTATCTGTTAGTTATAGATTTAGTAACCATGGTAAAACAGTTATTTCTAATGCAGAAATTACAAGGTTCTTTGATCGAGCTTGCACAATCTGGGCCAGAGATACTTCTGAATTGACTCCAGCACTGGATACCTACATGGCACAGTAGTTAGCAATTTCTATCTGTGATATGTTTATCTCCTTACTGGTTGGCATGGGATACTTACTGTTCAAGGAGGTGTATCTGAAGTGCTTCAGGAAGTGGTTGGAGAGGGACCCATCCTAGTCTAACGGCTATTCTTCCAACATTAGTGTCAACCTTCAACACATGATTATGGCAACACGTTATTGCAAGGCTTTTTTAGTGATTTGCATTGGCTGGTGAGCAGTGAATGGATTTCAAATAAACCTTACCGGAAAAGCCAGATGATGAAGTGTCAAAAGCCGTACACATTCCACACTTTTTAACCCCAATCCTCGAATGCTCAGCAGATATTCCCTGCATTTGATGTTATGGAAAACATATAGAAAGGACATGGTTAATTGTCTTAATTTGCATTTTATGCTGTTAATTGCAGTCAATGTCTGCTGCATAGAAACTTTCTTAGGATAGGGATTAGGGACACTGGTGAATAGTGATTGAAGAAATACTGAAATTAAAATGGCTTACTTTGCTTTATCGGGGGGAACATATCTTAACCATTCAAGATCAATGTTTCCATGCTCTTTAACCAATCTGTTCAGGAAGTCCTGAAATAAAATAGAAGCCCTTTGTTTAAGAATATTTTGGCAAAAAAGCAGTGTTCTACAAACATGCTTTGTTCAATATACCTTGATTCGTTCTGCTAGCATGTTGTTCATCCCTCTTTCTTTAATAGTGTCAGAAATCTCTTTAACAGAGGCACATCTTAGTGCTTCATAGTCAAGTGAATCCATTGTGTCTTCACTTCTTTCTTTCATTGTCCCATTTGCTTCTACCTCCTTTCTTAGTTTGTCCCAGTCATCTGCATGCTTTTTCTCAGTCTTAGGTTTCGCTTTCCTTGCTTTAGAAACCTTGAATTTGCTCTCTTTATCTGTAGGGCCTGGAGAATAAACTTGCTTCTGTGGCTTTGGTTCAGCCCTACTATTATCTGAGCATACTTGTCTGTTTGGTGCGGATATAATATTTTCACTGTTAAATGCTTCTTCTCCATGCTTTGGAGTATTGCAGCAATTCTTCACTACATCATCTTGCCCCCTGCCTAATATGTAAGAAGTATTTAATGATTCTGTATATGGCCTGCCTTCTAGTTGTAAGGTTTTCTGACCTACAAGATGATGGTTAGGTGAAGGCTGATTATAATTTGTATGAGATCTAGATTGAGAAGTATCTTGTAGAAGGACTGAATGGTTGCTTAATGGTCCTTTAGGGTACATTGTTGGTAACTGTGGATACCCTAGTGTTCCATTTCCATACTGCATCTCTATGGGTTTATCTGAACTATCTCCAACTTCCCTGATGCCAAATCTCCCATAATTGGTGTTTTGGGATTTACTGCATACAGCAACAGTTTCAGGCCAAGAAAACTCGTCGCAATTCATTTGAAAAGTCTTTAGCCCTTGTGATTCTAAGTAATGTAACTCATAGTCAGTTGAAGGAAAAAAAGGCACTTGCTTTTCTGGATACTCAAAGTTGCTGGAATGATTAAATGCTGAGTGGAAATTGTGACTGTTGTTTCTGCCTACTGCAGAACTTTGATTTACATGTTCTGCTTGTTGCTGCTTTCCATCTTTGGTTCTCTCCTCAAATAGTGACACTCCGTTTACACTATTGTAAAATTCCTGGAACATTGTGGTCTTTCCTACCTGTAAATGATTTCTTGAACTTGAAAACTGAGTCTTGCTGGTGTCACACCCACTGTTTAGTCCTTCTGATTCCGAATTGGATCCTGAGGAGGATCCAATTCTGGTACCTTGAGTAATTGAGGAAATAAGAGAATCTTGTGATGATAACAATTCTTCTTCTATGATCTGATTATTTGGCTTTATTAGGCTCCCTTCTATCATTTCACTGTCTCTCCTAAGCTCTCCTGTATGATGGGGTGTCACAAAGCCAAGAAGGTAGGTTGGTTGATTTAATGTACCTCTTCCATATGATATTATTGTGTCAGCTGGATTTACTATGCTTAGTTCTGGTTCTTCAACTAATGCTTTTGTGACAACAACATCGAATGATCTCTTGCTGCTTTTTGACTTGGGAAACCTTGCGGATAGAGACATAAATGCAGAGCTGCAAAGAGAGGAAAGAATCATGAAGTTTTTGTGGGGCTGCACTTCATCTTGTACGAGCACTGGCAATTTTGGTGAAACATCCTTATTGAGGAAAACACCTATCACTGGTATTTAGCTTACCTTGAAAGATGGTCTGAAACATTCTGAGTGAGGAAAACACCTATGACTGAGTCAACCACGGATCCTTTCCACTTTGAAAAGCGTCTATCTCCTGCACAGTAAAGGTATATTTGATTTTATAAATATATGCTGACAAGTGAACGATATAGCAATCAAATGAATAGTTTTAATAAATCATTGACTTCTGTTTTTGCTATTAATCCCATTTGAGTGCCAATGTTTTCTGTCCAAGAGCATTACTCAAAATATAGAGGATTTTCTTGTCTGTTCATAGCCGTGTGCCTTTGCATATTTTTCTTCCTTTTGTCAAAGTTAAACTGCTCTCTAGAATTAATACTGTTAGAATATTAGGGTTATTAGTGTTATTACATATGTGGGTTATGATAACCAAACTAGTACAAGCACATCTTAATTATCTCTCTCTTTTTCTCACTTCTGTAGCTAAACTTGTAATCCCAACAGATTGAAATATATGTGAATTATCATTACTTGCGGAGAAAGGGTAGTTATAAACATTATAGAAAGTAAAAAACGTCTGTCTTGAGTTCATTTAGCAACAGGAAGTTTTAGGCTTCATGGTACTTGATGTTTGGGTTTGATGTATTGTACCTTGAACAAGATGCATCCGTGCAATGAAGGAATCAGCTCGTCCACGAAAAACATTTCTTTCCTCTTCCCACCACTTCTCCTTTTCCTTGTCAGTTCCTTCAAGGCCTTCGCTTCCTTCCTTGCCCATCAACAGTTTCCAGGTTCTCTCTGTTTCCGGGTCAAGGTCCACTCTAGGTCTTAGTTTATGTTTCTTTGCAAATTCAAATTCCTGGTAGGGAACAATCGAACCATCTCCCGCATATGGGACAAGTGCCTTTTGTCCTTCCATCTCTGATATGTTGGTCTCCTTGAGGTTGAGACCGTTCAGTCCATAAATTATGTCATCTATCAGAGTGGAATATATCTGGTGTGGTTCTCCTAAAAATTAAGAAACAGAAAAGTATCATTTTATGTTTACAGAAAAATCCATTCCTTTATAAAATATGCATTACCTGAGATAGTAAAGCAATCACCAGTGCTGACTCCATTGTTTTCCTGCTCTACAAATCTGTTTTTTTCCATACAGAAGTTGGGCATTTCTCTATTATAATGTGATTGATATCCATTTTTGTCTTTAATTCTCACTTTCTGTGAATCATCTTTACCCATTATTTTGTTGGAAGACCTTCCATAGACCTTTGCATGGAGTGTATTTTGAGTTTTTTTCCTCTTCTGATTTTCTACGAAACCTTTGGCAAGAGCTGCACTGTTAGAATTTTCGTCTGCTTGTAAAATCTCTTGGCACAAGGAAGTATCAAGTGGAATTGTGGCTGAGTCATGTTGGTTCTCGGTGCTGTTGGAATATTTTCTCTTGGAACCCTTTCCTTCAATGGAATTGGAGATAATGTTTGGCACCAACTGAAGGGTATCCTGAAAAATCAGTTCTTGGGTCTTCTGAGAGTTTCCGAAACATGTTGCTGATGGAAAGAGAATGTTGCCATTTTCTTTTGCATGAATATATTGCGGCATGCATCCATTTTTTTCTCTCTGGAACAAATCAGAATTTCCCTGTCTTTTATCAGTGACTGGAGATTTTGCTATCTGCTGTTCTTCTTTAGTTGCTGACAAGGCTATGCTTGGATTCTTTTCTGATGAGAAAGTATTAGTTAGCTTTTGATTCAATAAAAGGGTAACATCATCTGTGTTTCCGGGTTGTTGGTTTTCTACTGTATATTCATCCTGCTGGCTGATCAGCAAAGCTGAGTTTGAACTATACTTTATAGCTGCTCCACCGAGCATCTCTGTGGCCTTGTAGTCTGAAATGATATTATTGGCCTCCTCATTTTTATGGTGGATCTCCTGCTGACAAACTATTCTGCTCTGGCTTTCATATCCGCTCTTTTCTGAGCCAAAATTTAGAGCTTTCCTGCAGGATTTTCTATTTGCAACAGTAGAATCAAAAGTTTCTTTCGTGACATCAACATGTGTTGTTGCTGCAGTATGTCCGACATTCTTCTTTTTGTGAGGATTGTCTTTATTCTTTGTCTTTTGAGTTGCAGGGTTTGATTTTCTTTTGGGCTTGGCCTCTACAATTACCTTTGGCCTATGCTTTCTTCGTTTGGGTGCTTTCTGCTCAGGTGTCTTGTTCAGGTCAAAACCCAGGTCACTTCCCTTGTCACAGATGTTGCTGTCAGAACCCTTTTGATACCCATATTTTGTTGAAATTGCTGCAGATGATGAGTCTACAATTTGCTGTAGAAGGCCATCGCAAAATTCTTGAATTTCATTCTCTTTGGATGAAACCAAGTCTTCTTGTTTGTCTTTCTCCTGACTTGTGCTTTCAGCTATTGTGTAATCCGGTATATTACAAAACTGGCTGTCCACAAACTTGAGCTGATCCATTGTTTTTGGTATTGATTGGAGGGAGTTGGTGAAACTAGCAGTAGCATCAGCTTCTGTTATTGGAACATAGTTAATATTATACTTCGGGTAAGAATCACCTGTGAAATCAATTTTAGTCATTCACCAATTAGTTGCTGAAATCATAATGGATGCAGGAAGGTATTGTTCAAACAGCCAAAATAAATGGAGTTATTATGTGTTTGTAACAATGTAATCTGTATCATAATTTCTAATTGCTCCTTACTATGTAACTTGTGTGAGGGGTATCAGTTCCACGTATCCACAATGTACTAAAAAAGAATAAAATAAATGAAGAAAACAATTGTTTGCATTCTTTATCAATGTTTCGAAATTCATGGTTTTCATATCTTGATAATCGAAAGAATAATGCCTCTTACCAGTGCTATGAACATCAAATGTCTTCTTGTTACTGTGAATGTCATAGAGTACTGAAACTTGGACCCCCCACCCCCAAAAAAAAAAAAAAAAAAAAAAAACCCACTTTCTTTTCATTGCATTGCAGCAAAAGTTTCAATTATTGGAATTACAGCCGAAATGAATTTGACTTGAATAACTGATATAACAGGTGGATATTAAAATTACTTCATGCAAATTAACTGTCATGGGTCACAAAAAGTCCCTAGAGATTTAGCTCATTATCAATTTATTTGTTAGTTTGGAAAAAATATTAGCCGTAAGAGTGTCTGGCTAGTGTGACATGCAATTGAATATTTAACATGTTTCTGATGCAGTTATCTATACTAGAATGACATTAGAAAGGCACTGTACCCACAAAGATTTCTCTCTGGATTGGAATTGCAGAAGTTACCGTGGGGTATCTCAGAGAAGATGCTCTTTGGTTGGTTTGAGACTGAGCAGTGAATGTCATTGTTGAGCAAGCTGTCTGAGTTGCTGCCAATAAATTCAGAATTCCTATCTGGAATCAGAAGTCTATTTGCATCTTTGTACACAATGTCTGAGGGTGAATGGATATTGGATCTTTGTACACCTGCATAGGATTCCCTCACATCAGTGCTCGCCTGAGGATAAAAATTTGGTAGCAGTGGATTTCTAGCTGCCCTGTTAATGCTCGAATCGAAATTCCTGTTAGCAGAAGCTATATTAGTTGCATTCTTCTTGAGCAGTAGTTCCAAAGTATTACTGTTTATTCCACTGCTCTCATAGCACCGCGCCTGAGCGTAGGAGCCTGCTATCTGATTGAGAACTCTCTTTCTATTGGTTGAGTTGCCATCAAAATTATTGTGCAGTCCAATTTGATCTATTTGTCCTACCAGATGGAGATTCTGATCTGGTCCATTATGATGCAGCAGCATCTCTTCCATGTAATCACTTCCAGGGACAGGAAATTCTTGATAATTTGCTCTTCTGTTTTGGTCCACTGGCCAGTCTGATATTGGCATAGATCTTCTTAGAATGAGCTTCTCAGGGGTGATGGGTACCCATGCATTGCTCATTTGAAATTGTTTCTCATCTTGACCCAGAAGCCGTTCTCCGAAGTTCATTATTGAAATCCTGCGAGTTAGAAACGATATTAATATCTTATATTTCTTTCACTTATACTTTTTGGTGTCTGTTGAATTTATAGGGGAAAGTATTAAAGGATAAAATGGAGAATATATGATAAATGTGTTACAAGACATCAATCTAATACACCAATTTGTACTAATATTTTAGTTTAAGGACTCGTGTAAAACTAGTACAAGCCCAGTTCAACAAGACAACTCACATCATAAGGCTTCTTCAGTAAGAATGCTAATACTCTGACAATATCTACATTGTTAGGGTGAAAAGGTAAGGAGACAACAGAGACGGACAGGCTATATTGGACGATTGAGCAAGAAACAACCATAAAATTCATTTTTCTAAAAATGCTTTGTAAAATAACACAAGTAAGCTGAAGAAAGAGTATAAACCCCACTTCAAAACGTTATTAAATCTGCTTATCCTATGCATCTTTGGTACTGTCATTTATAACTTAAAGGGGAGCTATATCCTATATTGAAATATTTAGCTAAACCGGAACTGTTTGAAGTTCAGTTTCTAATGACAAAGCTATGTAACTTGTTCACAAGTGCATCCCTATCATCCTGCGCTTGTGCTATACCACATCGTGGTCCTGTTCCACATCTGAAGTAACATGGTGATCAGTCCAACAATTAGATTCAACAGTAAATGACAGAACATATTTTCTGTAGTTTTACTGTCAAAATAGCAGATAGAATTACAACAGCAACTAGCATAGATAAATTTTCTGCATAGGCCATAACAACACATAATTGGTTCAAGCTATATCAGCTTGACGTTTAAAGATATGTAACTTAAAACTGAATGTAACCCTAACAATGAGTCCAAGTATAAATTAAACATTCCAGTGAAATGACAAATTTAAGCAAAAGACAACTTCATAAGACATTTACAGTCATGCTTGTAGGTGATATTATAAACAAGAAATGAAACAATGCATGGAAGGATTGGGGAAGGCGAAGAATGATATATGCACAAAAGGGAAGAGAAGGATAAATAGGGAGAGGTAAGATGGGATTATGCATCTCCTGATGCATGACAGGACTCTAAATCATGAGTGTTGAATATCCATTTCAGGTTCTACATTATGTATTTGATCAACAAGCCATATCATTAGCACTAAACCAGCCTCCAATCAACTCAAGCAACAGCATAATTCAGTACAGGATCAACTATCAGAGCTATTGCAGCCTAAACAAATACACATCAGCTCATAAAAAAACCAAAAATCACTCCCCGTTAAATCCAACTAGCGAGTGTGGTGTGGAGGAAATCCTTGTACGCTGCCTTACCTTTGCATAATTGCAAATCCGACTAGCGAGTGTGGTGTAGAGGAAATCCTTGTACACAGCTTTACCTTTGCATAATTGCAAAGAGACTGTTTCCTGAATTCGAACTCATGATCTTTCGGTCATGAAAGAACAGTTTTATCACTGCTCCGGTTCCCCCCACACATCACTCATAGAAAAGGTTAATTTTGTTATTCCTAATTATAAGCTGAACAAACTTTCAACTGAAAATAAAACAAGTATTCATTCAGAACTTGAGAATCAAGTCAACTGCTGCTGATGGATCTCAACCAAAAAGAAAACAAAAGAAAAGAAAGGAACCCAATAGAGGATCTTACCTGCTATGTTGTTGCTCACTCATCTGAAGAAATTTCAAAGCTTTATTATCTCAATGAACTAGGCTAAAGCTATAAAGATCTACGGCTTCTTCAAAAGTATTTCAAACTCTATTCTACCTCTGCTAGATATTGCCCTGAATTATCAAAATCCCGATGCATTCATAGACCTTTTTGTATTGCCCCATTGCCCAAAATCCCTTCAACACATTCCTCACCATGGCTATTGAAACATTACAACATACCTACATATTAAAGAAAAAAATAAAATAAAATATCAACCCAGGCATGAATGCTTTAAATGCTGAAATGAATGACTTGGACATGGAAATGCTAAATAACAAATGGAAATTAAAAGTAAAAGCACAGGTATCCACCACACAATACAAAAAGACGATTTTTATGGGTGGTTATGAATCTGGCTATATTGACAAATTAAAATCCGATTTAAATATTTGGATTTTGCCACAACGGACGGTGATAAACAGGATCTTCAGAATCTGTGAAATGAAGAATACACATAAAAGCTAATGAATACGAAATTGTACAAATGGTATTAACAAAAATTATCTTTTGCATCTCAGCTCACCAATTTGTGTGTGCCTATTATACACTGAGCCTCAAAAGGTATAGTCTATGGGGGAATGAAAACACAGTGAGTATTTAAAGAGAAGAGGGGGAGGGAGGAAAAGAAAAGAATAAATTTTATAATAATTTCAAATAATATTAAAAGGAAAAAATGTGTGCTATTTTAAATGTCCTTTTACTCTTACAAAGATATGAAACTCTGATCTCTAAAACTTTTTCCATCCACTCTCTCCCATAATCTATCTCTTTTTCTCACTTAGAATGACATAATTTTATGTCCTTTAATGTAATACACGCTTTCCCCATATTAAAATAGCAAATTAATATATTTTGTTAACATATGTTAACAACACACTTTTTAATATTAACAATGGCATTTACATTTCACTTTTTAACATACTCTTTTTTAAATGTTTTTTTTAAGGTTATATTTATCTCATTTTACATGAAATAAACAATATTCCTACACACACAAAAGAGGAGTGGGTCCCACCATTCTTTTTTCTCTTTCCTCTTACTTGTGGGTCCCACTTATAATTTAATTTCTACAACATGAGATAACTTATTTCCTACAACATAAGAAAAATATTTCTTTTTTTTATTATTAATATAATTTGATACTCACATCCTCAATAATGTTTTCTTTTTTGCTCCTCGAATGCCTTTTGTTTCTGCTCTGATTCTTTTATCTTTTAATGGAATAAATTTTTGGTGATACTGTTGCACCAAAGATTTAGTATATCCTACCAATGGAAATATTACATGTCAGCTAAAGTTTTATTTTTTCTGTCAAATTTTTTTTCTTTTATATTATATGTAAGGGTGCACCACGTCAGGCACCGGGCGCACCTCGTCAGGCACCAAGTCAAGCATCGGGCGCATCTCGTCAGGCACCCACCCACAAATCCACAGAAACATCGCGCCCCACAAGCTTGGGAAGGCTTGCACGAGCGCGAGGGAGAGCCCCTGCACAACCCATCGCGGGCGTGGGAAGGCAGGCTGCTGGCTTTTTGCAAGCATCCATGCTTAAATACATCCAACGTCCCCTCCGAGTTTCATGGAAGGATTGATTCTCAATGAGTGTTTGGAGCCTATGCCTGCTCCCCCTATATAGTAGGCTTATATGCATTTGCCCTTTAGGAGGGAGGAGGCACACTCACTACGCGGCGGAAAAAAATTCTCCACGAAATCCAACGAAACTTGGAGGGGATGTTGGATATATTTAAGTATGGACGACTGCAAAAGAACCAGATCAAAATTCGATGCCTGGGTACGCTTTTCCATTTTTTCGGATTTTCTCAATTTTTGCCTGTTCAGAGATCGATAAAAAATATAATACTCTCATTGATAAGATATACTGAATCTTGATATAACAGTAGCAGTAAACATTTATTTCCTTTAACGACAGACTCAAGTTGTCCCTACCCTTACATTTACTACAGTGATTAAGTTATTCCATACTTTCCGAATTACAGTTATTGCAGTATTTAATGTTTTGGTCACACTGGTTACAAAAATCTAAGCCATGTGGATATTACTACACTAATAAATTGATATATTAGGTAAACATTCATGAGTAGAAATTATAATTTTCGTGTAGGATAGGAATAATTTGAGTGACTTGATAAGTTTAAATTTTCGTGCCACCTATTAAAAGTTCTTTCATTGTAATTATGTGCCAGCAACACGGCAATAAATTATAACACTGCCAATATTTTGATGTAATGAGCATCCCTAATTGGGAAAGTATGAAGCACACAAACAAGAAAAACATGAAAAAATTATTCAAAAACATTCAAAATTTTCTTAATATGAGGATATAGAATTGAAATATATGACTAAACAAAGTTGGCAGAAATTAGCCCCATCTTGATCATTTTAAAGAGAATTTATTATTCTTGACGTGCCGTTTTTAATTATGAATGTAAATTAGTCATCTAGTAGAGTTCCTCATGGCCAACAAATTACAACTTCTTCTGTTTCCTAAATTACGTTTCAAATGAGCAATTGCAGTCCCTAAAATAGACCAAGTGGAAATGAGTTGGAAATGGTCTGACGTAAAACTCAATGGTTAGCCCAATTTTCTTCTTCTTTTTTTTGTTGTTTTGAAAAGTGAGCACATTTTTCTAGTGAAACTCAAAATTCTAATAAGACACTAGTTAATTTTTATTTTTATTTTTTACTACAGCATTGGGTAAGACTTTTTGAACGACAAACCCCGTTGTAAACCTTAACTAATGTCTTGAGTAATTGACACTAGTAATAAGTTAAGATTTACATTAGGCAAGTGGATGGATCACATCCTATAAATTATGGTTCTTCTAATCAATTCGGTTTGGTTTTTTATATTGAATAAAACCAGTGGCGGATCTAAAATTTATTGTTTATGTCCGCACATTTAGTTACGGGAGTTCGGAGGCAGCGCCCCCAAAATTTTTTTTTAAATAAAATTTTATAGGAGTTAAAAAACAAAAATTGTAAATAAGAAAAAAAAAACTTCAACTTAACATAAAATATTATTCCCATCACCTTTTTTTTTATCAAGCTGAATTATTGTATGACATCATAAAATATTCAATAAAATATATGTCATTCCATTGCATCTCACCGTATTCCATTCATTTCCATTTCATCCTTCATTATATATCTAAGAAAAACCTAATCTAACCAACATCATACTTTATTACTATACTTAAAAAAAAATTCTGAAATTCATGTCCGCACTTGCGGACATGTGCTACCAAGCAGGTCTGCCTCTGAATAAAACCGAAAAGTGATTTGATTTCACAAAACCGAACCATTTTAAAAGTGGTTCAGTTCTTGAATCGTTTCGAAGAAAATAGTTCAATTCTTAAACCAGTTCGAAATAATGTAGTAGGGTTTGGTTTGCAGTT